CCCCCCCCCCGTTTGAAACTCACTCTGGCACCACTGCTGGACACTAATCTCAAACATGTTTGGCTACTGCAGTTTGTTACTTATCAGCAGATATAAACCCAAAACTGATATACAGTATCTGTAAAAAGACGATATAAGCCAATATATTGATGACGGTCTAATAAAATCAAGAGGGAGGGCAAAGAAAATGTGCCGACGCGTCATAAATCTGTCCTCTAGCTGTGTGTAAAAGCCACTGACACTGATTTGTTAGCACGCGCCGCCATTATCCCTTCACCTGCTCGATCATCATCATCATCCAGCTCAACTCTGTGACTACGACTGTGTGCGCGTGAAGACATGAATGTCATCATCCCCATTTTTATTTTATTTTTTACCCTTAGGAGAGGATGAGGAGGGAAGAACATCAACTTCTGTTGAAGTCAAGGTGACCTGCTGCTGGTGAGAGAAATGGGAGTTGAGGATTATGTCAGCACACACAGATCCCTGTATTTCTCATCTCACCAGCCGTCAATTAGAAATACCGCCGCTGAGTTAAATAGAAGGGATTTCTTTTTATTCCTTATTCCTATTCCTGTAATTTACTTTTTTATCCACCTGTACTGCCTCCCCCTCCCCGAGTTTCACATTTCACTCCTACAAATCCAGGTTAAATTCCTGTCTCCATCTCCTCTGCCACACTCACTTCCTCGCAGCCTGTACCTCTCTAAATTTACTCTGCCACCCACCCCGACATCCCTCCCTCATTTTCCATCTCTACTTCAATTCACTTTCCCTCCCTCCTCTCCCTCCTTTTGGCTAGCCTCATTCAGAATAAGGCTTTTGTGATTGGCTAGTATTTATATCAACTAGGTCCCGGTGCCACCTGGGACAATGGTCTCCAGTCAGATCCAGGTCACAGCAGGCAGAACCATTCTTCGGCTCTGCGTGGATCAGTCCAGTCCAGTCAAAGTCCAGTCCATCTGCCACACGAGGCAGCATCACAGACAGACATACACACACACA